AATTAGATTTTTTTCGTTAGTTTTAATAATAAAAAGGAAATATAAAAGAATTTTCAAATTCTTGAAATTTTGCATATATTAGTTCATCAAATAACTAAACAAAAATCCAACAATATATATATACATATATATATATATATATATAAGAAGCAACAAGTTCAAGGGATTGCTACTACTATATATATATATAAGTTTAGTTATATATATATATATCCAACAATATGTATACATATATATATATGTATATATATATAATTCGTTTTTTACTACTACTTATAACTTAAATTAAAATTAGATTTTTTGTTAGTTTTAATAATAAAAAGGAAATATAAAAGAATTTTCAAATTCTTTGAATTTTGCATATATTAATTAGTCAAATAACTAAAAACAAATCCAACAATAAGCAACAAGTTCAAGTGAGTTTGAAATTGAATAAAAAAATAAATTATAAAATTTAGACATTTGAAAATAATATAAATAACTAAATATATATAAATAAAAACAAACAGCTGCATGGTTGTGCGGGTCAAGCTCTAGTTATTATTAAATTGTTAGTCCTAGTTTGCAATGCCAGTAAATGAGAATGCTAATAAATATAATGGTACTAGTGGTCCGTCCGCGCTGCGCGCGGGTTATCGGATATTTGTATTATTTAAAAATTTTAAATTATTTCTTGGTTTGTAATGTAATATTTTTATTGTGTTTTGTTTATGAGAATGGTCTATTATGATATCAATGTGATGGCATTAGGGTTAAATGATGGACATTTGGAAATTATTTTAAAATTCTTGAGTCATAGATGTTATTTTTTTGTTTGACAAATTTTATTTTTTTCATGATCAGAGATAATAGCTATGAGAATATTTTTCATAAAAATTTATTTGAAAACAAAGTCTAACAATTTATTCTAAAAGCAAAATTAAACACAACCTTTGGAAGAAATTGAAGAGGAACATAAATGTTCAACTTATACTGAGAAACAAAACAAATAAATCAAAAGTAGAAGGAGTACGTCATCATGTTAATGGTAAGCATGTTTCCCGTATAGGCCTTCTTTTAGTTAAGGTGATCACTGAAGCCCATTATCCTTTTGTAGAACTCGGTTACCAAAAAGAAGTGGAAACAGTTGGAGCAAACCGTGATCTCCGTCCCCTGTTGATGATGGCAGTTCTGGGGTGGCCACATCTTCTTTAGTGAGGTACGACATATATCTTTCATGTGAAATTGGAGGTGCTCAAGAGATTT